TTGCAAAAAGTCTACGGCAACGTTTTTTGAACGTTGCCGTAGGCTATTTTTGTTGTAGTGAATGTACATATTACGGTATCATAAGCAAGTAATACAATTGTGAATAAGATATTGAACCCACATGGACAATGTACTTACTCTAGTTAAAATAAATATTAACTCTAATCAAATAGTCAATTTGCGAATTGTGATTTTATAACAAATTATCTAACTAAACTAACAAGCAACTATGAAACGTTTGTAAAATCGATTAATACAAACACTATGATTTTGACCCCCCTTTATTAGTCCATTTTAACACAACTCAAGACCATGTAGGGGTGGCAATTAAATCGAGCGACTCATCGTCACAGAATCATGTTGCCAACAATTATTTATATTTATCTATTTGAAAGTTTAAAACTTGTGGGGAACAAAAAATAAGTTCCAACCTTTCAAAATTAAAACCTACTAATTTTTATTTTTTTCTTTTTAATCTTTAGGTTTAATTACAAATTTTAAAGCTCATAATTTTGGATTAATTGTGGGGGTTGAAATTTGTCTCTATGAAAGGGAGTGGTTTTTGGAAGATTATTTTCTGCACATTTCATATTATATTCATATGGCTTTGACAACTCAATAAAAAACACTGAAGGAAGGTGCAGTTGCCTGTTTAAAACAAGAAATTCCGTTACATAGTCCGTTAAAACAACAAATTCCGTTAGTTTTTCCGTTAAAAACAAGAAATTCCGTTACATAGCCACTTTTAATATATAGAAGACATTCATATGGCTTTGACAACTCAATAAAGGCTATTTTTTTCTCCCTATGATCCACTCATCGTGTCCATAGAAGGAGAACTAGCTATAAGCCACATGAGTTTTATTTTGGAGCCATGTAGTGCCAAAAGTAATCGCACGAAGAGAAGGAAACACGAATTTAAGACATAGTCCTTGATATGACTCCATACATATGCTTTCTTTCTAACTCTTCTATTCTTGTATTTTTATGTTATTTATGTTAATTGATAATCTATCTACACAAATCACTCATTTTTCCCAACACAAAGAGGCAGTGGTTGATGTATTGAATAACGGAACCCTAGTCATGTTTTATCCTGCTTTTTTTTTAATGGAAGTGGAAGCTCAATTTTGCTTTTTGGATGGTGATTTTATTTGATTTGTGCACAGAATTTTTTACGGGCTCTATGCTTTTGCTTTATAATTTAAGTGGTTTTGGTTAATTAACTTACAGATGATATATGAAGAATTACAGATGTTGCTCTTTGTTAGAATTGGGTTGTGACCCGAATTCTTGTTGAGTATTTGATTGGAAATACTGTCGGAGAAGTATTGGAGTTGTTAGTGGACTTGCAGATGTCTTGAAGAGTCCAATGTGAATTTGACTCCTATTTCATCCCAAATTCTCAATTATTGATTTTACCCATTATATTGAGATTTCACCTTATATTAAACTTTTCATATGTTGATTCACCTAATATGTTAGGGATTCTTTTGTTATAAATATGTGGTTTACAACACATATTGAAATTGACTGATTGCCCAAAGATATCATTTGTAACTATTTACTATTGATTATAGTGAATTATCTGCATCTGCCCTGGTTTTCCCGAATTTGGGTTTCCACGTAAATCTTGTTTTCATTGTGATCTATTATTTTCATATTCCCCATATTATCCTCATCTTTATTATTTTGGCCCGATTTTTAACAAGTGATATCAAAGTGATTCTGGGATCTTGTTTTGTTCTCAACACTCTCTATTTGTTCATAATAGCATTCTTGGAATTGAATATTTTCCATTTTTCTTCTATTAGATTTATTTTTTGGATCTCCTTAGAATTTTTCTTGACCCTTTGATGCTCCTTCGAAATTGGACAATAGTGGATTGAGTGAGTTATGGTGATGGTGGGAGTAGCGACTGTCGAGGTTATCTGTGATTGATTTGGTTACGGTGGTGGAAGAATCTGTGATCTAATGTGTAGATAAAGGAATAAATAATAGATGGATGGTTGGGATATTTGGCAGATATTTCTTGGCAGAAGAACGGATCAAGTGACGACTTTGAGGTGGTGGTGGTGATTGCGGTGCAATGTGTGGGTGGCCCAGTAGTTGATGGATTTTCTGGTTTGATTTTTAGGGTTGGCGAGGGTGGATGGGGTTGAGGTGTTCGGGGGAAGAAAACTTTCCGTTTTTTATTTGATAACTTTGTTTAATTGTTTTATAAAGTTAACCCTTACTGAAATCATTAATAATATGGTCAAAATCATTCTTCTAGGTCAACTGACGAGCTTATGGATAGAAACCATCCATTTTTCCTTCAATCGCATGCACTTGAAAGGTTTGGGATCACGGATGCAACAATTGAAAAGTCAGTGTAAAACCTGCAAAGATTTGAAAGGATTGGGGTTGTTGATGCAATTATCCCTTATTTTATTGACAGACTGTGATTCAAAATGAATTTGAAAAATAAAATAAAAAAGAAATTTTAAAGAAACATGAACCTGATTATTAGTTGACTTTGATATCTTGGGGACGCACTAGTCAAACGGAAGTCTAACTATTTATAAAATAGAATTTGTGTATATATTCAAGTATGTATACCTCCAATCCAACAATTGTTAGCTGCGGCAAGAAAAAGTGTCATGCAGAAGGCTAATTACTTAATTTACTTTCTTCCTACAATTTTGCTGGTACAGTGTCTAGTGGCTTGCAAAGCCATGGCAACAACAAATATTACTACTGATCAATCTTCTCTTCTCAACTTCAAAGCCCACATAAATTTAGATCCTTCACACATTTTATCGAAAAATTGGTCTGTTTCTACTTCTGTTTGTGTCTGGATTGGAGTTACTTGTGGTCTTCGCCACCAAAGAGTGACTGCCTTGGATATTTCTAGCATGAATCTTACTAGAAAGGTACCTTCCCAATTGGGAAATCTATCCTTCCTTGTTTCTATAAACTTAAGCAGAAACTATTTTCATGGCAGTGTTCCTCAAGAGCTGATTCAACTCCGACGGTTAAAAAACATGCGCTTCAGTTTCAACAATTTCAGTGGCGAAATTCCTTCATGGCTTCATTTCTTACCTAAATTACAAGTTTTGAGTCTAAGAGAAAACAGTTTTACTGGTTTCATTCCACCTTCTTTCTCTAATATATCCATGCTCCAGCATTTGGATCTCTCTTCTAATCCTCTACAAGGGAAAATCCCGGAAGACATTGGAAATCTTCGTAACTTGAAATATCTTGCATTACAATATAACAGACTCACTGGTGTAATACCATTGCAGGTTTTCAACATATCGACAATGGAAATTCTTGGTTTTACAGGAAATAACTTGACTGGTAATCTCCCTCTTCAAATATGCCATGGCTTCCCAAGACTCCAGGGGCTTTATCTATCTGAAAATGAATTGGGTGGTGAAATTCCTTGAAATCTATCAGAATGTTTACAACTTCAGATGCTTTCTTTGTCAGTCAACAAATTTAGTGGATCCATTCCAGGAGAAATTGGGAGAATAAGGACGCTTCAGAATTTATATCTTGGTTCAAATGATTTGTCCGGTAAACGAATCACAATTGATGTTGCATTAGTACTGTAATTTTTTGTTCGAAGAGATCTTCGTTCACAGAATTATTGATGTTATTCAGATCACCATTTTGGTAATTGTAGTCTCTCGTTCTGATTTAACAATTTCACAGGTGCAATTCCATGTGAGTTGGGTAACCTGGAGAACCTCGAGGGATTTAGCATGGGATTTAATTTTCTTAATGGCTCTATACCGGCGAGTATCTTTAACATTTCATCATTGCAACATATTGAGATTGGTAGCTGCAACCTATCTGGTAACTTTTAATAAGAATCAAAACAACTTTTACGTTTCTCTTAATTTGTGTTTTTATAAAGAAGTTTAAAGAATTTTGTAGGTGCAATCCCACAAGAGATTGGCAATGCAAATTTTTCTGAACTCACTGAGATATACCTGTCTTCCAACAATTTTAATGGACCAATTCCAAACTTCCTCGGGAAGTTGAGCTTCATTGAAATCGTAGACTTGTCTGAGAACAATTTCATTAGTGAATCTCCAGAATTGAGCTTCATCACTTCATTGACAAGTTGTAGGTATTTAACAACATTGGCTTTTGGCAACAATCCTTTGAATGGCATTCTTCCATTTTCAATTGGAAATTTGTCCACTTCTCTTCAATATCTTTATGGTTATAATTGTGATCTCAGAGGTAGCATTCCAAATGAAATTGGCAATCTCACCAGTTTGATAACATTAAGTCTGTTTGGCAATGAGTTGACAGGATCAATTCCAGCAAGCTTGGTGAATTTGCAGAAGCTTCAAGGATTAGATCTGCATCGCAATAAAATAAATGGATCTATCCCGAACTCTATCTGTGAACTTCACAATTTATATGAGATATCATTGTCAAAAAATCTATTAACAGGTGCTATTCCAGGGTGCATAGGGAATATTACTACACTAAGGTCTTTATATATCTATACAAACCGACTGACTTCCAGCATACCTGCAAGCCTGTGGCTCCTGAAAGATCTTCTGAAGTTGAATCTATCTACAAATATTTTGAGTGGATCTATTCCTCAAGAAATTGGGAACCTGAAGGTTGCAATTTTTGTTGATGTATCAGCCAATCAACTCTCAAGTAGTATTCCAAGCACAATTGGAGATTTACAGACCTTGACTTATCTTTCCTTAGGACATAACGCACTGCAAGGATCTATTCCAGAGTCATTGGGTAAGATGCTGAACTTGGAACAACTCAATCTATCTCACAACAATCTTTCTGGTAATATCCCCAAGTCCTTGGAGGCACTTGCGCATCTCACGTACTTGGACGTTTCTTTCAATGATTTAAGTGGTGAAGTTCCTTCTGGTGGTCCTTTCAAAAACTTTTCAAGTAAATCCTTCATGTCTAATGAGGGATTATGTGGTGATCCTATATATGGTCTTCCATCATGTCCTACTGGTAGACAAAAGAGAAGAAAAGCGATGCTTGCAGTTGTATTTTCTTTGTTGGGGATTACAGTACTAATTTTCATCGTCACAGCCTTGGCATATGCAATTGGAAGATACCGAAGGAAAAATTTGGAGGAAAATAGAGTAGACTTTGCACCTGGCACAACTTTAAGGGTCTCGTATTATGAACTTTTGCAAGCAACTGAAGGGTATAGTGAGAGCCATTTGCTTGGGACTGGGAGTTTAGGCTCTGTCTATAGAGGGACTCTCAATAATGGAAGGGATGTCGCAGTGAAGGTTTTCAATTTGCAACAACAAAATGCATTCAAGAGTTTTGAAGTAGAATGTGAAGTATTACGTAGGAATTTGTGCAAAGTCATTAGTACTTGTTCCAATCCAGATTTGAAGGCCTTGGTGCTTGAGTACATGTCCAATGGAAGCCTTGAGAAGTGGTTGTATTCAGATGAATACGTCTTGGATATGTTGCAGAGAATTAACATAATGATAGACGTAGCATATGCATTGGAATATATTGTTCACTGTGATTTGAAGCCAAGTAATGTTCTGCTGGATGAAGATATGGTTGCTCACTAGAGTGATTTTGGAATTGCTAAGTTATTGGGTGAAGGAGAAAGCAATGCATACACTACAACCCTGGGAACATTGGGTAACATTGCACCAGGTAAAGCTCCTATCTTTTACTCCAATCTTTTCTCTTGAGCATTCAGGGTACGTTTGGTCCACTAGATTATTCCGGATAAGTGTAGTTCAAATGGTTAATATTCGTATTCATTGTTAGCAAAAACAAAAAACATAGTAATGCTTTAGAAAGTTTCAGATATATCGTAGATTACAATACACAAAGACGTGCAGTACAAATATATATTTCTAATAATGCGCAACACCAAACATAATACTGCTAATGAATTTCATAATATTTGTGTAGAGTATGGATTGGAAGGATCAGTGTCAATAAGATGTGATGTTTATAGCTATGGCATCATGTTAATGGAAGTATTTACACGAACGAAACCAAGCGATGAAAAGTTTTCTGGAGATTTAATCCTAAGGAGCTGGATCAATGATTCTATGCCCAATGCAATAACTCGGATTATAGATTCGAACTTGTTGGGACTAGAAGAACACAACACAAAAAAGTTGAAATGTTTGTCATCTGTAATGGAACTTGCTTTAAATTGCTCCATGGAGAGTGCCAGTGAGAGGGTGAACATGAAAGAAGTTGTTGTAGCATTGAAGAATATCAGATTTCAACTCCTTGCTTAACAGAATTTCTAAATTTAACAGCATAATGCAATGTTATCACTGTGTTATATGATGATTCAGTGATTTTGTGGAGATTAAATATTTCGTTTGTAAAGTTATATGACAAGCAATCAATGAAATTTAGTTGGAGTTTTCTTAGTTTACAAGTTGAGTTTTCTAGAAGTCTTGAATGTATTTTAGAAGTGTTTTTGCTTTCTCCTCGTCGACCTCTTTTTTTATCTTCTTTTTAGCAATTTTATCCTTTCAGTCACATTACGAGCGTCGCATGAATATCTAAGGTCTAAGCAAGCATTTTCCATCGGGTAAGGATATCACTTACATAGTGTTAAAAGGTTGGGGACAAAGTGCCACATATATGTGTTTAATATATAACATGTCAAGAGAGAGCAAGCATACCCCAAGATTAGACGAGAAATCTAAAGAACTATGTTTAAGTTCTGAATCCAAATTTAAACTACTACTTGAAATATCCACAGCAAACAAGAACAAAAAGAAAAAAGGGCTATCAAACAATCTGGAAAAGAGGTTTACAGCTTATCATATTGAGAAAGAGTTCAAACAAAAAGGAAGAGAAGAGAAGGAAATAAAATAAATCTCTCTTATGGTTCAAATTGCAGAATTACAATATCTAAGGGGACAAACCTTTCCAAAAATTCAACAAATTCTTTGTATATAAAAATGGGTCTACAGTCATTTCAATTGGAAAAAGAATGAATCTGAATATATGTTATCCCAAAATTTGAAGTAACCTATTATAGTTCAAGCTTTGAGTTACCAAACTGGCTAAATAAAATGGCCATGTCCATACCTTGTCCCATGGTAGGCACAACTGTATCATATGGACAGGCATTGGAGAAACTAAGGCCCTGTTCTCTTTGTCGTTTTCCAGCCATTTTCTGTTTTTAATTTCTCAAAACAACGAAAACGCGTTCTCTATCTTATTTTCGAAAACACATTTTGCAAAATGGAAAATAATTTATAACTGAAAACGGAAAACAACCAAAACCTCGTTTTGTAAAATGGTAAGTAGAAATGGCCCAAAATACAAAAACACGCGAAACGCTCCAACACTCATCCTCAGACCTGCTATCTCTCAACTCTCTCTTTCTCAACTCTCTCTTTCTCAACTATCTCTCAACTCTCGCTCTCTCAACTCTCTCTTTCTCACCCACCGTCACTGTGTATCGATCAACGGCGGCGATTCCCAGTGCAAATCGAGAGAGGAAATTACGGGACGGAGCTTGAACGACCGGATCTTCAAAATTTGGGGATTTTGTTCCAGTCAAGCGAAATCGGGGGCTGCAATCAAGATTTACAAGAGCTAAATCAAGGTTTGTTTCTTTGCTTGTAATAATCTCTAGTTAGTCTCGAGCATTCAATTTTCGACTTGTTGGGTTCGATTTTGTTTCTGTTTGTTTATGTGATTGGTGCGAAATTTTTGTTTCTGTTGGGGCGGTGGCTGGTGCTGGAGGTGGGGGTGGAGCTGGTGGTGGAGGTGGATAGGTGGAGCTAGCTCTGGAGGTGGATAGGGTGGAGCTGGCGCTGGCGCTGGAGGTGGTGGAGCTGGAGCTGGCGCTGCAGGTGGTGGAGCTGGCGCTGCAGGTGGTGGAGCTGGCGCTGGAGGTGGTGGAGCTGGTGCTGGAGGTGGGGGCAGTCGCTGGTGCTGGAGCTGGAGGTTTGGGTGGTCGGTGATAATGCCTCCAGTACTTACCCTGGCTCTAGCCTCCTGTGAATAGGGTGAGTCGAAGGTGGTGATTCTGTGAATGATTTGAGGTGATTCTGTGAATTATTCTGTTGATAGGGTGAGTCGAAGGTGACTGATTCTGTGGTGTCGAAGGTGAATGATTTTGGAAATTTTCTTTTCTTGGTGAATTAGCTGGTTCCTTCTCTGCGCTCCCTTCTGGGGAAAGTTGTGCAATAATAATGGGTTTTTGAATACTTGATAAAATATGTCTTGTTCTAATTTGTCGAGGATGAAGATCTTAGTTGGTTCTGATGAGATAAGGAAAAATTATGAAGAAATGTGTTTAGTCTTGAGCGTTTGTTTGAACTGTTTCATGGAGAATAGATTATGTAACGGTGATTGGAGAACGTTTGGTTAAAAAGTAGGGAAAATGATGCATGAGCGTATATATGACATGAACAATTGAAGATTTTGATAAGAAAGGGGTGCAAAGTAGGGAAGAATTGAGGGCAAAAGAAGATTCAATTTATCCATATAATCAAGGGATGTGAATTACAATTAAGAAGCCATCTATTTATAGAGAAAGAAACTGAAATGAATTTATAAAGAATGGGCTAAAAGAATGGAGAAATGAATTTATAAAGAATGGGCCTCAAACATGGGCTAAATGATAAGGATAGATTTCTCCAAATACGTGTACAAAGTATTTACATTGTTTAAAAATATTGGACTTGATATTAATTGTAACTGCATTTATTCTGTGCCAAATGCCTTAAATTTATACTTCGCCATTGAACTAGTTTGTGGAGTTGTGATTTGTAATGTCCTCATTTTTGAAGATGACTTCTTAATTTGTAATGTCCTCATTTGTAATGTCCTCATTTTTGGAGTTTCAAGGTTGTTTGTAAATAGTCTACTCTTGAAGTCCAAACTCATGCTACCTATTGTAATTATTATTAGCAATTTTGATTTTAAAATGTGTGAAGTCCAGATGCAAGTTTTATACCCTAATATTTCTCGTCATTAATTAGAGTTTTGAAAACATTGTTTTACAATCTAATAACTTGTATACTTAGTTCATTTTCAGATTTATATGCATCATTCGTTCGAGTAATGTGTTCTTCAAATAAAGATTGGTTTTTGGAACCTTAAAGTAACTTAAAGAAAAAGAACTTGTCAATAGGATTGCAAATGAAAAGGAGAAATGATTATTCTTAGCTTTAAGGGGGAGCAATGGAGTGGCATTTGGCCCTACCAATTAAAGAAATAATTACTTAGCAACAAATGAAGTTGTGATTCTAATTATTTTGGAGTTTGCTTTCACACGTAATTTGATTAGAGATGTTTGATTCTGTAATGGTCCCTCTAATGTGATAATTGTATGTATGTTGAATATAGAACATGGGTGGTCACAGAGTTAGGAATAAGGAACCAATGTCATGGTCGGATGAGAATGAACTTACTTTTATTGAAATTCTGTACGAGAGAGTGAAATCAAACGCATTGCAATGTTCTACGTTCACAAGAGATGAATGGGGCAGAATCAATGAAACAATGGTTGCTTCAACCAAAATGGATTACGGGATAGATAGATTAAAGGGAAAGTGGAATCGTTTACGTAAGATTCACCGTATGTTCTCCGAACTGTTGGCGCATACTGGGGTCACATGGGATCCCAATACCAACAAAGTCAACGCTGCAGAGGAAGTTTGGCAACACTTTTATACGGTATATTTATTTATGAAAGCATATTTTCTTTCATCATTTTTTGAGAGTTTCAATTGTGCCCATTTTCTAATGTGACTTCTTTTGTAATGCAGATTAACCGGTCGGATTACAAGCTGTTCAAAAAGGAAGGTTGTAAACACTATCACACTCTGGGGGAGATATTCAGCGGGACTACTGCTACTGGAGGATTAGGCAGTGCCTCCACTCAGCTTCCAAACACATCAGAGGAAGAAAGACAGCTTGAAGATGACTTCTTGAACAGGGGAGTGCATGTACGTGTGGAGAACGTAGACGAAGTGGATGGGGTTTCTAATATTCGTCGGCGTGAGGGAACTGGTACGTCGGGTGGCAGACGTAAAGAACCGAAGATCAGCAAAAATGATAAACTTGAGGCCTGCATGGCACAGTGGTCATCTACTGTGAGTATGAGGAATGAAGAAACTGAGGTTCGGACACTGTACTTCAAAGAAAAGCTTGCGAAGATTCAAGGAAAATCTCAAAATCAATCGGACAGCGAAGTTGGTACTGATGATAGTTATTCCAGTGTCACATGCATGGACATTTTAAACAGTATGGAAGGGGTGTCAAATGAGGTTTATATGAAAGCAATAAAGGCTTTTGATAATCACAATTTTCGGGTGTCCTTCGTGAAGATGCCAGCAGCAAGGAGAAGACCTATCTTGGAACTACTTTGATGTTGAACGTTGTTTTAATTTCGCTACTATCTTGTTGTTTTCATTTGTGATGTGCAATGTTGAACTACTGTATTATTTTCCCAACTCCTAGTTCACTTGTAAACTACCTTGAAGATATTTGGTTTTCATGTATGAACTTATCGATGTTGTTGTTGATTGCAGAACTGATGTTTGTTTATATGTGAAGTAATGCTGGTTGTTATGAGAATTAATGTGGGTATATTTTGTTCACAGTATGGATGATAATGTGAATGGTGACGATTCCATTGCTGAAGATTCTAGTGATGATGACTTGTTAATGACAGATGATTTTGACGTAAATTCCATTGACAATGTGATGATGCTTAATATGATTGATCTTCACAGAGGAACTACCGTTGACAGGATACCTTGTAGGACATCAATGCTTACGGGAAAAATGTACGTTCTCGAAATTCTAAATGGACATCCGGATGTATGCCATCGCAATTTTCGTATGCAGAAACATGTGTTCATGAATTTTTGTGATATTTTGAAACACAAAGGGTTGTTGGAAGATGGGAAAAAAGTGAGTGTCGAGGAGGGTGTTGCTATGTTTCTGATGATTGTTGGGCACACTACCCGATATAGTATTATTGGCGATAGGTTTCAGCATTCGAACAACACAATACACAAATGGGTTAAACGAGTGATAAGGGCTGTTTGTGCATTTGGTACAGAGATAATCCAGCCCACAAATCAAGATGTAGTGCATGAACGGATTTTGCAAAAATATCCTTTCTTTAAGGATTGTATAGGCGCAATAGATGGAACACATGTCGCAGCATGGGCACCTGCATCGAGACAAACATCTTTTCGTGGAAGGAAAACAAATGTAACACAAAATGTGATGTTAACATGTGATTTCGATATGAAATTCACATTTGTGTATTCCGGTTGGGAAGGCACTGCTAATGATTCGCGAGTATTCGTTGACGCAGTTACAAGAAGATCGAACAACTTTCCAATGCCACGGGGAGGTATATTCTTGCACTACAAATACTTAACACAAATGTATCTATAGTATTACACTATGTGAGTTTTTTTTATTTTAATGTAGATCAATTTTACCTTGTTGATTCTGGCTACCCAAACATGCCTGGGTTTCTTGCCCCTTATCGAGGTCAAAGATATCATCTGCGTGACTATGTTGGACGGGGAAGACTACGTGGGAAGGAAGAATTGTTCAACTATCGACACTCCTCGTGTCGTAACATTATTGAACGTTGCATTGGAGTTTTAAAGGCAAGATTTCCTATATTGAAATTGATCACCAATTATCCTCTTAGTAGACAAAGACAAATACCTACTGCATGTTGCGCAATACACAACTTTATTCGCCAGGAGCACGCTTTAGATAGATTGTTCGCTGAGTATTCAGAGGAGAATATGGTGTTCGATGATATACCGGAGTCAAGTCAAGCGCAAGAAGCCATACATTTTGATGCTAGTCAAACAGCTCAAATGGGACAAGTTCGAGATCAAATTGCGACACAAATGTGGAATGACTACTCAAGACGTCGTACTTGACGGTGTTGATTTATTTTGTATGTAGTTCAGTATCTGCTTATGTTGTCATGACAAGTAAACTTCTAATTGTATCGATGGAACACTGTTTCATCAAATGTAATTTATGTTCTGTTTTTAATATCTTGAAAAAAAAAATATACGTATCACTTTTTCAAATGTATAGGTTATTTAGTATTATATTTAATCCCTGTTTGACACCCATTTTGGAGAAATAATGAATTTTGAAATAGTGATTGATGGAAGAATGTGTGGTTAAAAAATAATGAGAATTTTTTGGGTTTCTGTATAGTATTATTTTATTAATAGAATGTGTAGTTGAAATGAAGAAAGAAAAAAAATGAGAATGAGAATAAAATGTGTGTCAAACGGGGGCTTACATTAAACAATTACAATTTATTGAATAATCAGTTTTTTTTAATAAAATATTATTAAAAAAATTCTCAAAATTTCAAAGTAAACGCGTTTTCCATTTTTATGTTTTCGGAAACTGTTTTTCAGAATGGCAAAAAGAACGCATTTTCAGAAATTTCAAAACAGACACTCAAAACACAAAACACAAAACAAATTCAAAACACAAAACACAAAACTGAAACACGAAGAGAACGGCCCCTAACCTTCCCAGATCTCTGTACTTTTTTTTTTTTTTCACCTCTTGAACTTCTCGTGACATTTTTATATTTGTAAAACCTGAAAAATAAAAAAATTATTCTGTGATTGAGCAATAATAGAAATTGAAGTGAATATTTCAAACACACTCACTTCCGGGTGAAGGTTTACCAGAAATGACGAAAAGATCAGATTATAGTGGCAGAAAACAATGACGCAGCTAACCCAATTTTAACCAAAGAATTATCCCATATGTCTAATCAGTTACTGTGATGATTGCTTTGTAACAACCCTGAAATATCCCTACAAAATATTTAGTACTTTTAAAAGAAAATATGAACACACAAGGAAGAAAAATTAGGACATATAACAACGAAATATTTGTTGATAGGGCTGATGTGCATCAGGGCAGACATACATTAAGGAGAAACAAATAGAATGCACATGCTAAGATTTCTAAGATTTGTCTCATAAA